ATGGTAACTGTAAATGCTGGTCCTGGCCAGTAACCAATGGTAACCAATGAGGCCAGCCAGCATTGAAAGGTCATGGCCAGTAACAGTAACCAATGGTAACCAATGGTAACTGTAAATGCTGGTCCTGGCGAAGTTCCTGTTACCGTACTTATCAGTAAGTTAAACATACATGATGATGATGAAATTGGAACGATACAGAGAGGGGTAAATTAGCAAATGAATGACCCCTGCGCAAGGATGACAGTTATAACAGCCAGACTCAGTAACTGTTGAGCTTAGAGTCGAAGTCACAAATTGCTCAGTATAGCCCGGGGCAAGATCTGACTATGCTACGGTTAGCAAGCCATTTCCCGCTCAAGAACAGGATCTTCGGGCCGTGTTCCACTGCTCACAACATGCACCGTGATGCACGGAACACAAAAATTATGGTGGTGCATCTTGCCATGTTTAGCGAGAAGATTCATTCTCATTTTGTGTGTGTGGTGAGTGGTGGAGAGAAGCCCTTCATATCGTCAGCATCATTATCTTTGAGTGTGCAAAGCCAAAACACCTGAGAAGAGGAAGAAAAAAAAAAAAAAAAAAAAAAAAACTGAGTTGACTAACAAGAGGAAGAGCAGAAGAGGCGGATTGGGGGGAGGGGGGGGATATTAAAAAAAATAATAATTAAAAAAAAGACCCGGAGCGAAACATAGAGGGGATAATTTGCAAAATACCCCCCTAAGTTTAGGTACATGCCAAAATGCCCCTAAATGATGTGGGTAGAGCGGAATGCCCGTCTGACAAAAAAACATATTTTGTGAAATACCCCTGGTGTCGGTTGGAACCCCCCATCTTTGCAATATACCCCTACCGGCTACTATCCAACTTTGCAAAATGCCCCAGTACTTGCCAACATTTCCTAGGCGCTATTCCAAAAGGGCCAAGTCCAAATTTCTCCGGGAGGTCCAGATTGCAAAGTTTCCCACCCGCCTGACAGGGGCACAACACAAAGATTTCGGCCCAATTGAAAGGGCATTCCCCTCTACCCACATCTACCAGAGGCATTTTGCCATATATCTAAACTTATGGGGCTATTTCGTCTCAACACACACAACTTTTAGATT